ACCATTTCTCTAGTGACATTGAAATTACGCATTGAAGATTGTACTTTAACCAAGGTGTATGAACGATCGATATGCCTATCTATCTTTGAACTATGTAATCGTATAGGCCATACGTGTTTATGGATGTTTCAATGGTTGACAGCTGTCAATCGCACATAAGTTGGTAGTGAGTCACAGCATTGGTAGTGGAACTAGGTGAAGAATACTCACTTCGACAGGTGACTAATCCTTTAAGAATTACTCTTTCTTTTCTGTTGAAGTTTTGTTATCGTCTTATTGCGCACGCACTTGCTGTAGTTAAAAGCGGTTCATGCCTTGTGACTTTCCCTTAGACAAACCTAATCAAGCACTCGCTTTTTGGCCTCCAAGTTTTGTGCTGGTCCAACATAGGTATCGCACATCATCACCTACTCTTTTGTTCAGATGTCCAGGTATTTTTTGTAAGACCCCTTTTTAAATTTTTTTTTTTTGCACAATTTTTTATCTATTTCGTTGTTATCAGATTAAATTCAATTTTATCATATCATTTCACAGCGACATAACAGGCATGGCATCCAGCTCCGTTAGTCAGGAGGATTTTGATAATGACTTCGAATTAACATCTAGAAGGTCTAGAATCAGGACTGCAAGAGCACGAGTTGTTCCACCTAGGACAGGAGATTCTTCTTCTATAAACTTTCAAAGTAATAATATGTTTCTACTGTTTTTTTTCTTTATTATACATGATACTTTATAATCAATTATGATCACTTGTAGAAAATGTACAAAATACAGAAGAATCTCAAGGTGTGTGTGATACAAGTTCGAATAGTGTGCTTCCACCTGAACATGATAATCAACAAAATAAACCAATAATGAGGAAACAGGATAAACGGGTACCTGGCCGGTAAGTAAATAAAACGACGTTTAAATAAGGCGTTTATCCGCGTAGATGGGATTTTGTTAAATGCAAGTATCTTGTAAATTCTACTAAGTAGATCCAGCATAGAGTTTGCGCGACTTGTTAACACTTTCTGGATCTGGTTCTAGTGTCTTTAGTGTCGTATCCTGTTTGCACAGGCCAACGCACATAAACAAGGGAAAGCAGCAACGCGATCGACGGAAGCTTCGAGAAAAGAGGCGAAGTACCGGAGTAGTACATTTACCATCAACGGAGGTTTGTCACTGTTTCCAGTCACGTTAAGGACCTAAAATCTTAATGACTTCTCGCGGCAATATCTCGGATTTTAAAATAAGGATTTTTGCATTTATATTTATTCGATATAAATCTTTTAGTCTTGTATTTTGCATGATAAACTTAGAGATTTTTTACTTATATTCGTTACGAAAAGTTCTTTAATCAATTATTTTTAATCGATATTTGAGATTAATATTTTGTTCGTTTATAAAAGAGTCTTTTTTTTTTCAAACATATAATGTTTTCGGTTTCTCTCGGAAATGTCTTGCGCAAATGTAATGTCTTTCTAGAAAATTGTATTAGACACACACAGAATGTATAACAAAGTAGCATTGCACTTAGAGATTGCTTTCCGCGTTCTTTTATACGTTAATCGCAATTGACCGCGAGTGTTAACGGATATTGGTAAAAGTTTTGTGTGCAAACCCGTTGTTACTCCGCAATGTAATTTCGTTAGCCACTTAATTCTACAGAGTACAGGAGGTAGTACAGGAGAAGATGAGGAAGATCTTAGTGGCACTTGTCTTGAAACTAAACACAACACACATCACAATGAGTTCCTTGATCATGAACTCATAGAAGTAAGTGCGTGTGATTTTCACTTTTTAATAAAAAATATTCTGTTACTTATTGTGAACGCGGTTAAAAGTCGATCGTATGCAATAGAGAAATTATGTATGTATGTGTAACTACGCATGTTTCAGGAACGGACAGCAAAAATGTTTACACAAAGGCGAAACAAAAGGTATAAAATACTGAGATATCTTATTACGGTAGTAAATTATATATAGTGCTTTAGTGAAATTTAGTAGTCATTTGTAATAAACTGCTACTGCTTTTTAGGCATTACCGTACTTCCTACAGGTCATGTATAAATAGGCACAGTTGGTAAGTGCTACTGTACGTGACTATGTACAATTAGGCACGACCTGTACGAAGTACGGTAGAGCTAGTAGATTCTTTTAAATACGAGCCTGCGTATTGTAACGAGTACCGTAAGTTTTTTGTACACCTTTTTTATAATGATCTAGAACCAATAAGAATCGTGTAATATCATATTGATCTCATAATCATATCTCATATTACACTAAAGCGTAAATTATTTTGAAATAAATATAAGAAAGATATATAAATATCATTAAACATTAAAGGTCGTGCCTAATATAACATTATAGGCAGTCCGAATTGGAATAACTATGTATATTCACTAATATATCAAAATTACTCATTTAATTTTAGCCATTCCGATTTGGAGGCAGATGACGAGGAATTCGATTCCTTGAATCAATCTGACAGTGTCAATCAATCAGACCATGGAAATCATGAACCACAATCCTCTGTAAATGCTACAAATCAACCAAGACTGTCTACTCCAACGGGAGATAATCCACACGAAGTATTTTTTTTTTTTTTTTTATTTAATTTAACAAATAAAATCAAACAACTTGTACACTTATAACTTTTCGTTTCAAAATTTTCAGTTGATAGAACGAGCCCAAGAAGAAAATAGGAGACTATTGTCTCTCTTAGAAGATCGGGATCATAAGATAATGGCTCTCGAAGCTCGATTGCTTCAACAACAACATGAAATGACTATAGAACGGGAACGACTTCGGGAGGAGAACGCTGCGTTAATTCGTGCGATGGCAGCCTTGGCGAGTAATTAATTTTCCAATCCGCAAGACAGTCCGATTTATCAATCCTACGACCGTCTGATTATTTCTAGAAATTGCGAATCAGCGGTTAAAAAAGCTATATATACATATATACTAATAGTTTGTAAGTAATTGTGAATTTTCTTGTTAATAATAGCCGAGAAGATAGCGAAGCGATTTTAAAAGTTATTTGTTAATGATTTATGCTGCAAAAGAATCAGGGTAAGTTACGCAGTATAAATATACAATCGACTCTCGATTTCTATAATATTTTTTCGCAATAAGCAATAGATCGTTGAATACGAACAAGTAATTATATTTTATCCGCTTCACTTGTAGAGCTTCATTTACGCGAATATTCCTTTCTTAACAGAAAGATATAATCAATTTTTTTACGCGTTCGCATAGAGTCGATATCTAATCTCGAGCGATAAGTTCGAGCAAATATGTCTTTTCGCGATATAATAACGTAATGGAATAAGAGGTGCTGCAATTTGTTATGTCATTGTTGTTAGACCAGAGAATGTGTAAAGTAAATATTGGAAATTTTATGCCTGAAAAAATATCTAAGACTCGGATCGAGTCTTTGCATAGTATTTATTGTAACTTGTATGTTATCTGTTTTATACTCGAATGGATGGTAACATCGTTACTCCATGTAAGACTTTTTATCTATAAAAAAATTTTGCTTCATCGCGCAATTATATTGGCATAATGTTAATACAACAAAGGCGTAATAAAAATCGTTATAAAATTAAACAGGATCTGTGCAGAACGTGAATAGGATGGCATAAAACTAGAAATTCCATATCGATTACCTATGCATTTAATTTAAATAAACGAGATTTTTTGCATTTTCAGCTATGAACAGAACGAAACGTAATGAATAGGGGTATATCTTAGAAGAAGCAAGAAATGACCCCTAAAATTATTATTACTATTACTATTACTATTACTACTAATTATACTATTACAACTTAATATTTACTTACAGCGAAACGTATATAATATTTAGAAAGCAGGAGACTGAGAATGCGAGTACATTATGAGCGAACAATATCGAGAGAAAGTAATAAATCGAATTTGTATTTACGTATGCACAATCATATTTTATCCGTCAAAATGACGTATTGAATAATGAAGAAGAGAACGCGAAAAGAACGTGTTTGCTTATTAAGTTTATCGTATGCGTGTTTCGCGGCCATATTGAATTTATTTCAGAAGTTGGATCATTTTGATTCCTTCTTGAAAAAATATATAAAAAAGAATGCTCGGTCTAAGAAAATTAACCGATCCTATCGTGAGAATTTGGAAACTTTATTATATTCAAAATTCGATATTTTCTGTCTAAATAAAGATTTTCCTAATAAAACATTTGTATTTATTTTTGTTTTTTTTGTAAAATCGATATAATTTCAATATTTTTTTCAAAAAAGAAATGATCTTTAATTAATATCTCATACTTTATTTGGGGTTAAATAGTCACGCACCAAGAACGAATGTAAATAAAGAGTAAAACAAAACAGAGGAAAAAATATTGAAATCAGCGCCATCTTCAGAATGCTGCAAATAAAACTCGGAAAAAGAAAAGAAATAAAATAAAAAATGAACAGTAAGCGCCATCTCTGAAATGCCTAAAATATTACTTATGATTCTAAAAGTACTCAAGAGATGGCATTGATTATTAATTCTTATTCTGTCTATTTTGAAGAGATATCTTAAATGTTCAAAAGATGGCGTTTATAATCAATTCTTTTTTATGAGTTTCATTTGCGGCACTCTGAAGATGGCGCTGATTTCAATGTTTTTACTCTATCCCTGTCCTTTTCTTATTTTTTGTCTATAATTGTAAAATATATGAATTCAAGAGATAGCTCCTATTTTTAATTAACTTTATTGAATTTTTTATTTAATCTAATTAATTAAAAATCTTAATAAATTATATCGTATCAATTTATATATATATATATATATTAAATAAATATATATCTTGTACATATTTAATTTCATATATTCAAAAACTATTTTTTGAAATTTCAACTATGATATAAGATTCCTTTGTTTTCATGTTATATTATTTCTATCATTTGAATTTTACAAGAGACAAGATAAATGATAAACAAAATATTGTGATTATTAGAAAAAAAAGAATTGAGAAAAAAAAAATATGCGGTTTATACTTTTATTCATAAAATAACTAAATTTTGATATGATACAATAGTTGTCCTCGCGTATGCACAATTACTTTACGTTACATTTAACTGTACATTGAAAAACGAAAAAGGTATTCGATCGTACGGCAACGTTTCCGCAAAAAAAAAAAAATTGTCGACCAACTTGGTGCAGCATCTACCCCATCCCAAGATGTGTATACGCAAACTTTAACGTGTGCATACCAATGCAGAAAGACATTAGCAATAAAGGTATACATCGAACTATGATATATATCATTAAGTAATTTAGAAGATTAATATAAAATAGAATTGGTCAAAGCATCATTCAAAATTCGAACGGTAAGATGATCTTAGGAACTTATTGGACCACATGGCGTTTAGTAATAGTTTCATCTTTTAGGTTATTTTCGCGTGCAACGGGCAATCGCACAATGCGACACAACCATTTACCAATCTTATGACTCTGCTTTTACCAGTTCCAATATAAAATTACACCAAATGCTATTTTTATCGTTATACGGCAACGACAATCGTTTATCGTACAGGTCGATATACATTTTATTGTTAAAGCTCTTCCACAACTCAGTAAACACTACATATACATATCGTACATCCTCGTGACGCAACAGGTACTACAAGTTCGTAGCTCTCTGCCCTTTTATTTCTATCGAATATAGTTCTCTTTTTCATTTATTACACGATCGGTTTCTTTCCTTTTTTCTCTCCCCCCTCCCTCTTCCCCATTTTACGCGATTCTATTCGTGATCGCCTGTCTTTGCTCGGTGAAATATTTACAACACTATTCGCTAACACTTTTTACAAGTTCTACGCGAAGCGTCACGGCGCCCAACTATTATAGGAGAATATGCGAACATAAATTGTTCCCTTCGAATGTGACATTCTTCGCGATCTATAACAAAAAAAAAAAAAAAAAAAAAAAAAAAAAAAAAAAAAAAAAANAAAAATAGAAGGCGACATCTCTTTGATATGTACCGTTTCCTCGAGAGAATTGAAGAATCTGAAGGAACTTGCTCTCTGTCTCGTTATGTTGTACACACACACACACACACACACATATATATAGATATAACGTGAACATGTATGTATGACGTGAACCTATATTTCTTTCACGCACACCAGGTCTCTTTTTCTCTCTTGTCGAGCTTTTATTGTCAACAGTTTGAGTCTCTAACGTAGAAAGGCATATCGGTTTAAGCGACTTTTTTCTTCCTTTTTTTTTTTTTTTGAACAGCTGCTCGGTTTGATTTAACAGCGGCGATTGTCGTGTCGTACAGTTATTTCGCACACGTTTTTGTTTATTTTTATTCTTTTTTACGTTTAATCAACGTCCCATTTAGGCCGTTGCTCGAGGTATTTCGACGATTGAAGCGAATTACGTGCACGATTCTTTTTTTTTTTTTTTCTTCCCCCATTTATGACGATTATACTCGTTGTTTCTCGATTACGAATAAGAATCATCCATTACGATTTAAGATAGAAGCGATTAAAAAAATTAGATATACACGCGTTACGAATGAATCGTGCCACGTGAGGAAAAGACGTTTTTCCATTCCCATAATACTTCTAACACTAACTGACCAAATTCTTAATCGAGGAATTTCTCTTCGTGCGGCACAATTTGAGACCGCACGCACATCGATATCAAACAATTTTGAAACAGAACGAGCCGATTAGATGAAAAATAATCCAACGATTATATTTTGTACAACGTGGAACGAGATAAATCATATTCACAATATTATTTTCGTCATTATTCGGACTATTATCAGTGAAACATTGCGAAAGAATAACAAACATAAACAGAGTGACAAGGTTAGATTTTACATTCGCAATCGTATTCGTATCGTGCAAGCGATTTAATTCGATTAAACGAAGGATGAATGGAGGCCATTTTCTTGCGATACAAAGATGTTCGTTAAACGATCAGAATTGGTTTAAAATATTAATTTATAATTATATTTTTCCCCGTGAGATAATATTTATTATTTATGTACACTTCAAAATCGAAAGATGATAATAATTTTGGCTATTACACACGACTTTAACCCCCGAAGTTTGAAACTCATTGAATCCAAACTAAAAATCCGTGTTTGGCATCTTAATTTTTAAAATCGCAATAGTTTCGTCCCTCGAGTTATAGTTCTTACTAATTATTCTAATTAGTTGGCGGGGGTATTTGAACTCTCTCTTTCGCTCTCTCTTTCGCACCTTACATATCGTCAACATCATTATCAGTTATATTCCAACAAACGACTAGATCACGATGGTTGGATCTCAACCAGATCCTTAAATGCTACGGAGCTCGTGGTTAAGCTAATTCCAGTTAATGATATATTATTTTATCAAATATAAACCACTTCGCTATCGAATAATGTAACATTACGAATATAGAGATACAAGTAGGCAAAAGGCAAAAACGCAAACATAATTATTATTGATCTCAATTGACATACATTTATCCCACCTTGTTAATTGTCCACTTGCGCGCGCGCCTTTAGATGGCAAAAAGAAAAAAAAATTTCGCAAGACTTCCCCAAGTGCAATTATTCAATCCTATATTCTTATTCGATGCTTCTTTGTTCGCAACGACGGTTTCGAAGAAGCAGTGTCCCTAAATACAAGATAATTAATAATATTCAATTCACTCGAAAGAAAAAAATTGTGGCCAAATTAGACGTGGACGCTTGACACTTTAAAAGAAAAAATATACACATATAAAAAGAACAAAAATTAAACGAATAAAATTCACTTTTTAAATTACAAACGCGTAGATCTTTCCAAGAAAAGTGGAACACTGTGTATCATCATGTTAAAATCAAATATACATACTCTCTACTGCAACTTACTACGCAAGAAACAAAAAAAAAAAAAAAAATATTTATGATTTCCTTCGATATACGCGCCTCTTACCACGTTATATTTTGTACTAATAAAACTACGGAACACTGTCGCGTAAGTACACCAAACCTTTCTTCATGACGATTGCACGAAGCTTCCGTAACTAGCGCCGCGTGAACGTCTCTCTTTTTTCCCCCTCTCCCTTGAACGCATAAATAATTCGCAACATAGAGAGGAGCTCGCGTCGTTGTATGTACACAGGAAGAAATTCGTGCGCACTCAAGTGTTAACAGGCGCCATCATCCTGTTGGTTTTCGAAGTTCCAAGATGGAGGACGCACATGTATTATAACTTATCCGCATTTGTATTCTCTTTCTTCGTTATTCACAAGTCAACGACGCGTTCTCTCTCACTCAGAACGTTCTTTACCACTGAATAAGTTATTCGATAATAGAAATAAAAGTGTCTCTCTGTAAATCAGCCTTTCCCGTTTATTAGGGCCGATCGCCAAGGCACGTGTAGCAAGGTTATGTTATCCGAGTTCTTCGCACGTGTGTATACTGTGTGTGTTTTGTGTATGAAACAGGAAGAACGACGACTTCGGTTCGTTTAACGGATATACGTGTAGGATATGTAGATTGTGTCTTTCGATCGCGTCTTTGGACACGAAACATCGAGACAGCCTTGCGAACCGCGCGTGGGCTCTTCTGCTCTCTTCTTTTCGATCTTCTGCTGGAACCCGATTGTCATGCGAGAGAATCGGGTGATCCTCGCCTGGTGATTTCGCTCGACTCAGACGCTGCAACCGGAAGTAACTTCCTCGCTATTTTGCTGATGAGACCAGCGACATTGGTGACAGCTTTTTGGCTCCTCGGGGGCAGCCGCCACGCCACCTGATGCCCTTAAACCTTGCTCGAGCTCTAACAATTGTCCCATGAAGTTGAGATTAGGACTGATGATAGGTCGTGCGTTCTTCACCAATTTGTAGGCCTCCACCATGGACAGGCCCTTGTGTCGCATTATATACGCGATTGCGATTGTCGCACTGCGCGATACTCCCGCTTGACAATGCACTAACACGCTGCTTCCGGCTTTTCGGGCTTCCTCTGTAGAAAAAAAAAGAGATTATTATTAATTACTTTTATTAAAGAGGTTAAATGGGATAATTCTGTAAATAAATTTAATATTTCGGAATAAAAATTTGATTTTGGATGTACATTTCAGACAATGTTACAATATTTTACAACATTTTGTATCATTTGTATTTATTGAATTTTTTGTTAGTGGCTTATTGGAACTAAATTCCTGTCGATTGAATCTATTTATCCGACCATGAACTCTTATTATACGAATTTATGTTTGTCCTCCGACAATGACATAGATAAATTATGATTAGATATATTATGTATTTAATTTCTTTTCGTACCGATAATATGCTTATTAAATCTTTCTCTTTCTAAAATATTATCTTTAATTTTATTTTTTACTCTACAATTTTATCCATCTACTTTATTACTCAAAAAAATTCGAACCGCGTAAAAAGAGAGAAATGGATCTAGAAATCGAGGGAATTAAAGTTTTCTACGTCATCTGAATTTCTAGAAGTCGATTTAAGAGCAATAATCCATCGAACTGCAGCTCGGCCAAATGACAGGACTGTGCTGTAAAACAGCAAAACGAAACCAGCCGCCAAACAGGCGATTCGATTACGTAATATAGGGAAGGCTATCGTATCGCCAATGAGTCATGGCGACGCGGGCCCGTATCTTATGCGACGTTACTTGTACTCGATTTGACGTAGAAAAGAGAGGGAACATGAAAGCCGATGCAAGTGCACACGCGTGCAGATTTCGCGACATCTATGGAACAAAAGGAATTGAGAATTATTAAATCGAATCGAAGAACGTTATTATATTAAAGAATCTTTGTGACTATAGTGTCGACTGAAAAGAATTATATACAAAGTGTTAATATATTCGTGTTAATATCTTTGAAGAATAAATTCTAAAAAGCGAGTAAATATTTATCAAGTTATAAGCAGCTTAACTTTGTATCAGATGAAGCGAGATCAGCTCTATCTCCGTCATATTATCGTCACGCTTCATATAACTACTCAATTTACTTATATAACGTAATAATTATAAATAAGCATTAACATTTTTGTATACCAATTTCCATGCTTTTAAAATTGACCTCTAAAGATCACGAATACATTAACACTTTACACTTTGTGAAATAATTACATTTAACATTTAACGTAAAAATTCTTTTCACTTCGTTTCAATCAATCAATTTAATATTATTCTATACAAGTTACTTAGATCGTGCACCACAGAACAAATATTACCAGAGTTAGGGAGCGAGACAAAGGGATAGGTGTTGTTTCGAGAAACACCCTACAAAACACGTATCCGGAGGCGTCGATTAATCGCTAATCCGCGTTAAACGGCGATAAGCAGCGGGACTAATCTTATCTGGCCACGAATTGAGGGGGGTCACGTAATAGAAGTAGTTTAGGTAAACGTTAGTCGAGACATTGGGGGGGTGCATCGGCCCCTAAACGTTACGCGTACACGCCTGCAGCGTGTAGACTCGCGCGAGCTGGCATCTGCTATGAGTCACGGGTGACGAATGGTCGGACGGAGACGGAGAAAGCGGGAGAAAATTGTTGGGGAAGAGAGGAGGGGGATTACGAGAAGGGAGAGTTGTAGATAAAGGGAGAAAAATGAGAAGGGAGGGGGGGGGGGGGCGAGAGGAAGAAAATTAGAGCTGCGAGGGGTGTGGAGTGGAAGCGAAAGAGTTGAGACTGTTGAATTAAAATTGAGAAGAAGGAAAGAAAAAAAGATTGGAAAAGGAAGTTATGGAATTGGGGGAAGGGGGGAGCGTATTTTGGTAACAGAAGGCGCATGTGTACACTGAAAGTCTGGACACCTGTCGGTCGCGATGCCGAAAATGATACCGTGTTCCGGGAAATACGGCGTTACTCTCGTTACTCTACTCTTTTTATTTTCGTTCTATTTTCTTTCTTCCTTAAAACGCTCCGTTCCCTGAATGGTTAAAATTAACAACGGTGGTATCATGTTCCGTGAACGAGGCGAATTACAACTGCTTCCTGCGCAATTCTATGAGATTAAACGTTTACGGAATTCTAACTGCGTATACGATGAACGTATGATGATAAATATAACCTTCTACTCGTTTAACATCACTGCATCATATTTATTTTTCTTTCAAGTTTTCAAGAAATTCATAAAAAAAAAAATTTCATAAATATACTTTCCACCTCAGAATTCCATTTCGTTAATCATTCGCTAATAACCAATTATCCAATAACCTTCGAAATAGAATAAAATAAAGAAATAAATACGTTTCGTGTATTAATACATTTACCAAGCTTCGAAAAGCTTCCCCCCCATCCGCAGGAATGAAAGGACGCGGATTTGTCCAAATCCCGGGAATCAAAATTCCCGAACGAAACTCGTCATCGTGGGCACGTTTTTCCCTCGTCAACGCGGCGCAGTTTGGTGTAACGGAAACAGGGTGTAACCAGCCGTTTCCGGTGGACCATTCACCGTATATGCGAGGACTAGAAGACGAAAGGCTTCCATTCATGAAACCATGAGTCACTGGCGCGCGCGCGAGCCCGCACTAACGAATGCACACACCCGTGAATATCCCCTTCATGGTGCCCCAGTGTCGGCCTCTCGTCTCCCCGTGTGTTTATTGCACCGCATTCTGGCTCCATGCGCGTGAACGTGTGCGTAACGCGAGACGATCCTTGATCGCGCGCGCATGCGCGTATATGTGTGCGTGCGTGCGCGCCACACTCGGCAAGGAAGGCCCTACCGAATGTGCGCAACTGGTGGAATGCTGTACCTGGCCAACCGACCAACACCGTAGGGACTGTTGCGTGAAATGAAGGGCACCTTGGTGCGTTGACCGTTAAACCGCCTCTTGGACGATGAAGGACGCACACAAAGCGACGATGATTCGAACCCCCTTTTTTTCCCCGAGTCGAGTCGACTTTGGGGCATTTGGAATTCCTATAGGTTTTAGGTTATGTGTTTTTTCGTATGGTGATGAATATTAAAACTTTCGACGAAATTCTATAGGGGTAAAGAATAAGGGGAGTTTGGACAGATACAATAGATATTCGTGTAATTGATGCGTAGATACGGTATGGGAAATCTCTTGTAAAACGGATGTTTGGTATGTAAAACATGTGTACTTGAGGCGTTGAGAGGTTAGCCCTTCTCATCATGAGATATGGATGGAATATCCCGTGTGTTTTTCATTTAGACGTACATGTTATTAAAAACTAATTTTATTTTTATGGCGATGCAAATGTTAATTAAAAATTTTTTAAGAATTGAAGTATAGAAACAATTATATTTGAATAAGTATTAGATATGAAAAAAATCCATCTCGAGCACATTTTTTAAATGTTTAGCGATCAATAGAGCGTGTATAATGAATGGGCACGTATAATTGAAGAGAAACATCGGGAACAATGCTCAATTTTATGACCTCTCGCGTGTTATAATTATATTATCTTAACTGTAATCTTAATTTATTCCTTAGTTTAATTAGAGGTTATAAACGAAGTTTTATAACGTATTCTTCGGGTTGGGTTTGCTTCAGGATTCAAAATAAGCAGCCAGGTTAGATGGAAAGTTTAACCGGTGTCCTTCACAAAGGATCGAGTCCTTGGTTCCCATGAAGGGAAATAAAGGACGCTCGAAATCCAGACCGTTAGGATATCCCTGTACTTTGTTTGATTTACGATCCAGGAAATTCGTTTTATAATTATAATCTTATATTTTTCTATATAAGATTTATGATTCATCAAAAAATTAAAAACATTTAAAAAATTGTACAGAACGTTCGTTATTTTCTCATGTCTGTTAAATCATCATATTTTCTTCGACTTTTCTAATGAGCGTCATGGATAATAAAAATGATCGATCGCTAATCGAGCGACAAGTAACAACCTTTGAACGTTGTACTACTTGCAGATGAGATTGGATGCAAACGACAATGACGATCATTGCCCGAGGACACACCCAGTCAGTCGAAAGAATTACTCATCGACAGAGGCCAACATCTCTTTGTGAACGCTCTCCTCACCCTCCCTCTCACGGTGAATTAAACGCAGCCTCACTCGAATATCACATTATAACCGACCGACATTTTGCACCGTCAATTAGACCAATTTACCCTAACCGGTGATCCTTGTGTATTTTCGTTGAATCACATGCAACAGGTTCGAGAACGTCAATGGAGGCTACCATTCGTTCATTCGTTCAATGTCAACATTGTACGCTGCAAACTACTTATTTGTGCGTCGCCTATTCGAATGGTGCTCCGGTTGTTTAATGAATAGAATCTCGTTCCATTGATCGCGTAGTTGAATCAACATATTTTTCCTGGTTCTTAAACACGCGAGAGAAACGTAAAAATGGCATAAGCTTTTATAAGAATTTGCTGTTTCCTTGCGGAAAATTAATTTATCAAAGTCTGAAATGCAGGCTACATTGCATTTACTGCATTTTTGTAAGAGAATTCGAGAATAATCCGAGAATTTTCATTTCATAAACGTTACTGAAGAAGTATATACATTTTCTCTATGCCTATTAATAGGTATCCCCGATCCATTAGATAGCAATAACGATCAAATGAGAGAAATGCTCTTAAAATTATCTAGAATCTTCTCATTCTTATAATCATTTCGTCGTTATTGCTCAAACTGAACAGTTACCTCTCGAAAAAGTGCATCTACTGTTATCGACGGTAGGTAAATTCCAATTCCTCCTAATCCTCCATAAATTCTATCGTATCAAGAATGGAGACTCACCAATGAAGTCGAACGCCTCCTCGAAGTACTGTTTAAGGTTTTGGTGGCCAGAATCCGAGGCAGGGATCTGTCTATACGTGATACCCCTCTCCTCGTGATATCCAGGCAGCTGTGAAGTGACATTGAGGACTCTGGTTGCGCCTAACGCGCGAAGAAGTTGCAAGTCGGCCGCGTCCCTGCCATTTCCAAGGTAGAGGAACGGTAGAACTCTCGAGGCTGGGTGACTATCGATATCCGCGGGTTGCGGAGTCGGTGGTCCGGACAGACTTAATACTGGACACCCTGGTCCTGGACTGGAACAACTACCGACAGTGGACGGACCTGCTCCGACTGTTGGGAGAAGCGTATCCTCGCAGAGGTCCCTGTGCCGCCTGTGGAACTCCTTGTGTCCACCTGAAAGTAATCGAAAAGGATCGGTTAGGAGAGGTTTTGATTTTAGGGCGTCGAGAGTTGGTCTGGAAGCCTAACGAGAGAACAGGGTCGTGGGAACTGGTCTCAGGGGAAGCATCGAGTTACTTTGAAAATACCGATACAGTGAACCGGGAGCAGGTGGTGTTCGTTCGATCCTGTGATTTTTAACTATAACTTGGTTATATATCAGAAATATTTAATGCTAATAATCTTTTAAAGTATTTTCTATCTATACTATTTCTTTTTATATTTTAGATAGATAATTGATATTTATGATAATTCTAAAGAAAAAAAAAATAGGATAAATGAATAAAAGTGGAGAAGTTGTCTTTCTATATTCTTGAAAAAATTATCGATTTTAAACCATTGTAAAAATAATATCGTGTCTTAAGTAAGATAAAAATCGGATTTTACTACAAAAAGAACGTATAACAAAGGTGTTTCTTATTCGCGTTTTTTGCTCACGAGGCATAACATAGTGATTCAGTTGGCCCGAATTGTATCTTGGAATTGTGTACACAGCGATTTCTCGAGAAACGCGACCAGCTAATAAACCGTTCGCGTAGCAGGTTAGCCATACTTCCGCGTGTTGTATCTAAACCTGTACCCCCCATCATAGCCGCCAGCTATGAGAACGCATCGAGGAACTCTCGAATGCCCTCAGGCTTTCTCGATAAATTTAGCACGTTTTTAAAAGCCTAAGAAAAAATTCACAATCTTGTAATCTGGTGTGTAGTTCTAAGGAAGCCCTACTAACGATGCATTATGAATTTTCGATCTTGAAAGTCTTCCAGTCTTAAGAAACACCGAGTCGAGAAAGCATAGGGATGCAAAATAAACTCCTAATACCCCGGAAGTTGCTAAACCGCTTAAATATTTTTGGAATTTTCTTTAAAATACCTTCACTCGCAATATTTCAATTTTATATATTTATATAAAATATTTAATATTTATATATATTTTTTTTTTTACAGACATTAATTATATCGTTCTAAGAGACCCTCGACAACCATCCTCGAAACCCATTAAGACACTCGGCGTCGGCCAACGCGTAGCAATCCTCGGGAACGACGCGTGTCTGGGAAGCAGAATAGACGAACGAGGAAAAACAGGAGAGGAGGAAGTGAGATAGGAAACGAGGAACCGCGAATAAACGGCTGGGGTAAAAATAAAGGAACACACCAGCCGAAGAACGGCGAAGAAGGGGGGGCAAGGAAGAAATGTGGGCTAAAAGTGTCTTCCTCTCCTGACCTGCAGCTCGTAAGGCCTGGCCTGGCTCAACGATGAGTCACTCTTTTCGCCCCCTGCCGCCGCACCGCCACGGCCGCTAACCCCGTGTGCCGGCTACTGTTGTCGCGGCCGATGATTATTCCGCAGTCGCCGCAACGAAACTTCCTTCTCGTTCGGGGGAACGAGATTGAGAGGAGGGGTGGCCTCTCCCTGCTTCCGGATTTAATTCAATTTACCGCTTTAATTCATAATACTTTTCCCTCTATTATTATTTTGCTCGGTAATGAGGATGGATGTTTCGCTTTAAGTTACGTGAATTAATTCGAGCATTAATTCGACGTTCGTCTAATCAATCGAATCGCAAACGAATTGTGACGAAGCTAAGGTTCGATTTGATATTAAAATGAGACGAACAAGAATTAAGATTTGGAGATGCGAGCGATGCATTATCAATACTCTTGGCGTATAAGTAGACGTAATGCAATTCCGTGACCTAGTCTTAAGATTGTCTGCCGGAAATCGTAAATATAGCGTTGGACACGTCTGAGGAACGTGTATCGACAACACGAGTGTACAACATATGCTTATTTACATTATATAGTTTTATCGTTTCATAGTAGGTTTCTCAACAACTCCCTACGATCATTCAAAACGCACGTAACGGTTTTCGAATCTAGACGGCTATGTAAACGCGGCGAAACTCGTTACACGATCCACATATCTTTAACAAAGTGGCACAACTGCGCCGTCTATCGATACCCGCGGGACATCCTACGCCAAGGACTAGTTTTCAAAGGAAATCGCAACTTTGAGCGCGATCTATCGCGACGTGGTCACGTTATATGGTAAAACATTCGCCATAGTACGTGACACAACGCGTGACATCACGAGTTCATGTTTTACCATCGCGATACCCGATATGCGCGCGCTCCTCACGACGGTTGAACGGTAATTACGCTTAATGTATCACAATTATTAAGAAAAGGGGATACGTGTGTTCTTTCGTGGGGTATTGGCCTGATTTTCAACCACGGCTGGCACGCGTGATTTTATGCGCTGACGCGTGCTTCTCGTTTTAGTTCGAGATATCTCAATTTACTTTAGGAACACTAATGTATCTACAGATTGAAAAAAACATTCTTTCTTAATCAACGTTGCATAATTGTTACGAATGAATATTTCTCAGAAATATGGATGACTAATGATCAAAGAACTGTCAAGGAATGCCGGTAATGAAGAAATCGATACGAATGTTCGACAAGTTCAAAAGATAATATTGACGATATAAGTTAATGTAGTAATAGAAGAATGATATTTTTGCGGCACTTGCAAAACGAGAGCAATGAACCTCGTACAAGTTGATTGTTGTAATGACCTAAATGAAGTGACCCACATTCCATCGCAACGATGCACTTCGTTGTCCACCATGTAAGTATGCTTCATGGAATTCCAACCTTTTTTTTCCTTTATATTCTATTTCTTCTTTTAACTAATTTATAAAAGAGAAAAATATTTTCTCATTTGGAATTTGTGAAAGAATACGTTATCAATCAGGAAAAGTAAAAAAAAAAAAAAAAAAATATTGTTATGAAAGAGGTTTATCTGCGATGTGATTTAACGCGAAAAGATTCAGCGAAAAATTGTTTCAATATAACGTCTCGGAAGAATCCGTGATTCCATTATACCCGCGATTATAACACGAACGAGTCATCGAGTACGCATTACGCCTAAATCTAAAGGATACCAAAGCCTGAGTCATCCGCATAAGAGATTGTATTTACCCGCGTGCCACGTTCGACTTTGTATTCTCCCGCCGCTGTGGATGTTTTAGAAATACCTTTGATCATAGTTTTCGAATGACGTTGAGAATTAAATGACTAAATACAACATGGATAATAAAATATAAAATGTATAATTAAGGTGCTACCAGTGACATCAGTCAAGAGCATAAATACAATCAAAGATAAACAAAGTGCTTGTGAACATAATTTAAACGAATCGAATTAACGGTTTTTAATTTTGCTTATTTTTATTTTTCAAGAAATTTGATAAAAGGTAAAATATTCGATCTTAAAATAACGATTTAATATATATATTTTTTATAATGTCGAATAATACATACAAATACATACAAAAAATTTGATATCTTGATAAATATCTCTTGAGTAATTTTTAGATATCGCAAATACGGTTTTTATTATTCTTTCATCAGATTAACAAAAAACAGAAATAGAATTTTTTAAATTGCTTAAAAGACGAACGAGTTTACTAATAAAAATATGGATCAATCGAATGGTCCAACTTACTAACGAGACACAAAGTTCAGTCTTCGAGAGATCGAGGGGCATGGAGATCAACGCGCACCAAGCTTCCAATGATTCATATTATCGAAAACATAAAGAAGACAAACGGAGAGAGGAAGATTCTTACCCCACGGCTCGAGATTCTCCAGAGGAACTAGTCTCAACACGAGGCACGGTGCTTCCTTCTTGATTCTCATGTTTGAACTGCGTGAGATTTTCTCCACGATTCCCAGACGACTCTCACCTCACCATTTGACACACACGCGCACAACAATAAAGAACAAGAGTTCCCGGTGTTTGATCACACTCAACGAAACTTTCGGCGTCGTGTTACGCAAAGCGATGATTACAAGAGAGAGAGTTGTGTCTCCCTGTCGTTCGATAATCGTCAACCTTCTGATCGACGTTATCCAAACGATGTAAAGTTTTAACAATGTCAACGTTTTCCAAAGGAAGCACGATACCACGACAAAACTGTGTTTATGCGTTCACGATGAAACAGGGATATATACGTGGCAAAAGTGGCGCTTGCCCTTTTGCTTGTTGGCGGGAGACTGGTGGCTAAGCGGCACGAGAGAGTTTACATGAGGCTCGACTGGATGAGTCATCCGACTCGACGCTGATTGGCCGGCTGCTTCGTGACGTACACGATTTGCAGACGAAGGCACACGAACGAATCGCTGCTGTGTATTATATGTTCGTCCTTGTTTAACTCGCGGTGAACGGATCGCCGCGTCCTTTTCCACGTTTCTTCCTAGTTTCGCGGGGCTTCGTGCATTTCGTCGTAGCGGCACGCAATGCTTCGTGGCGTCCTATGACGACCTTGTCGCGCGATTTACTCGTAAATACATAACGTAACGCGCGACTTAATTGTCGAAGCATCGATAAATCGGCTCGGTTTACAAAAGAAAGTTTAAAAAGTTTAAACTTTACAAGATCAGAATAAGAAAGTAGGATCCTCCGTGTTTCACCTCCTTCTCATGCGGTGACACCAGCGTTTTTTTATCGATATCGCGTCTACGAGTCTCGGTCTCCTTCGGAATAGGAGAATGGAAAGATGTAATTCAAGAATAAAACGAGATTTGAATAGAATTGAATAGAATTGAATTTTCACGACGCTCGTCAAGATCGGACGCCATGATTCATAGATTTGCCTTTACAATCGTTCTCCTTTCATTCCTCGGTACAAGGAGGAAAAAGAAGAAAAGAACGAAATCTTGTCCCGTGCCCTTTCCCGCATAATCAGAATCGGTACACGCGTTACGAAAATCAAATTTCTAATTTCTGTCCGCGTTTATTTATAGGGACCACGATTCGGCCAGCGAATATTGGACGGTTGAAGAAAGTCGAACGTCGGTCGAGAGGGGCCCCTCGGTGAACAAAAGATCAAAGGTTGACTTTTGCCGTGGAGCAAAAATAAATCGAGGCATTATGCGTCTTTCGAATACT